AAGTAACTGGTACGGTACGGGCATATACAAGAAACGGGAAATGGGAGAAGGCTCCCATTCTCCCAAAACGTGGGAGACTCAGTAGAATTGACTGTGGAAATAAAATAAGTCTGTACCACTTCAAGTGTTTTCTTCTTCCAAAGTTCTTTCTCCAAATGTATTCTCTTCAATAATATTTAGAGCAGACGCCTAGATGAAAGTTTATAGGTAGATCGGGAAACTGAAGTAGGAGAAAGTTGTGAATTCGATTTATGTATAAATAATTAGAAATAATCGTTCAGAAAGACTTTTTCAATAGTGTAAATCTCCAGCTTCCCAAAATAGCGATGGGGTAAATCCACAATATAAAAGTAAACTAGATACTTTGAGAAGAACGAAGATTACATAGACATATTATACCTCTAACAAAATTCATTTGAGGAAATAAGACGGAGCTGAAATTTCCGGGAGAGACGATTGGCATGTCAAAATTTGGCATATTTGAGAATACAAATACTACTAATCCTACTAATACTACTAAGTCTATCATCTGGATCATGACTAGAATCGGACATCTACGACCTGGACAAAAACAAAGGTCTATAGAAAGAGCTTTTCCAGAAAGTTTAGTTGATCAGAAAACTAATGAATGGACCAAGCAAGTAAATAGCACGGCCCTCTTTATCAAATCAGATAAGAGAATTATGTCAATGTTTGGACTTTTTGACGTTACCCAAAATTTCGGAAATTCCTGATATTAATGCCTACTGTAAAGATGACGCTAAAAATGCATTACATTCCATCTTCAACATAAAGGGTAGGTATATGTGTTATTCAATATCACCTTTCTCTTTATAGTCTATTAACTTTTTTCACACCCTCCTTTCACGGTAATTAAATAATAATTTAGTCAGCAGTAAACTTAAATTAGCCAAATGTTTAGCATTACTACCGGGCGTACACTCGACTAAATGTTTAATTAGTGTAATAGCAGTGGACATAAATATTTCGGCTTGGTATTTCGGGTATGAGGGTTGCCGGTTATAAATACGATTTATGGTAGCGGCGTGATAGTGTACGTTTCTGTGGATAACACAGTATTTCTATATGTATGTGAAAAAATCTGGGGAAAATTTGTTAAGCAAAGTTATTGTTCGTCAATTTTTATCTGACACTTTCCGTATGAGGGGCGAGGGGGTGAAGTATATGGCAAAAACAGGTGTGACGTCAGGTGACCATTGGCGTTCTAATGTAGGGTGCCACCAGCTCACATTAATTTCGAGTATCAGATTGAAATCGACGGACTTTAACAGCGAAGGCGAGGAGACGGACATTTATCTGACAGTTAGATAATAATTATTGTTTTCGGTGGGGAGTGATTCAACGTTCAAGAAGCGTGTAAGTAATGAAAGCTATTTATTCGGATTAAGTAGAGAAACAACGGCAAAGTTTTTGAAGCTTAATTAGAAGTCTTTGAAAGGTAAACTCCATAATTGGTGTTGTTTGATTGGTATCAAGAACGCTTTATTTCATTATTGCTGTGCCTCGAAATAAGCCTCTTGAAGTCGATCAATGTAGATATTGTCCAATTGAAATGAGTTATTAGTGTAACGAGTTTCTTACACCATGTGATGCAATGCAGTGCATGCAAAAAACAAAATCATTGCATATTTTTCTAAACTGTGAGAGAGATCAACATCCTTGAGGAATTTCTGAATCATGAACCCAAACTTAATGCTTAGACGCTTACAATGGCGCAGTTTTTACTTTTTGTCCAATAACTCTGTAGATATTATTTCTTTGAAAATAAAGTCGAAACTCAAATTCTTGTGTGTGTTTTCATATTCTGAAAGCTAAGGTTACCGAAACTTTTCCATCGAAACTCTTTTTTCCCAGACGTATATACAGAGAACCAAGCCGTTATGTTTTCGCGCCTAGACTCCTGTGGGTGTATGTTTCATAAAATAACCCCGTTCGTTACTAAGCGCAGGTAAAGTTAATATTTACTTATAGCCGGTGTGTCGACTTTCGGGATGGTGTAGAGTAGGGTAGGGTATGCAGCTGAATTGCTTTATTTGAAGGAAATATAAATTTTAGTTCGGTGGAGATTTTATGATTATCCGATAAAATTTATATGCTTGATTTAAATTTTTTTTCATAAGAATTCGAGTGAGAACTATTTAACGAAATATTTGGCCAAGCAGCAGGAGGAAAGTGTTTCATTGAAAATTCATTTTAATTTAAAATATTTTGAACTTAGTCTATGCCATCAAAATGGGGTAAAATGTAGCAAATTGGGTTAAAAGCATGAAATTTGGCTGAGTTGTTTTTTGGACTATTTTAAAAGATTTGACCCGCAGCACCTAAAATTTCAACCCTTAGGAGGGTGGTTTAACCCCTATTTTATTTTCTAAGGGTTAAAATTATTAAAAATGTCTATGTCATAATATTATTTCAATATTGGTGTCATTTTAGACTAATTCAAATGTGAGAAATTCAAAAAAAGATATCTCATTCACATAGGACCCAACGGTAGGGCTCTATTGCTGTCATATTTGACATAAGTGTCAAAAATATCGTTTTTTTTTACATTCAGACCTATCTGGAAAAAATCTATGGCGATTTATATAGAATTTGGAATGAGAAACCAGCAGCACCTTAAATTTCACCTCTCAGGGGTGTTGTTCGACCCCTATTCGATTTTTAAAGGGTTAAAATTATTGAAAATGTCTATCATATTATTCCAATATTGGTGTCATTTTAGACTAATTCGAATCTAACGACTTTGAAAAAAAATATGTGATCTTCATAGGACCCAACGGTAGGGCTCTATTGCTGTCATATTTGACATACCTAAATGTCAACAATATGTTTTTTTTTTTACATTCATACCTATCTGGAAAAAATATATGGCGATTTATATAGAATTTAGCTCGAAAAATCCAAAAACATATGTTTCGAATCTGTACAGGTCATTGATACAGCTCTGCAGGAACGTTACACAGAAAAAAACCAACATCTAAAATAAGCTGTCAAAAATATCGTGCAAAATCAGTGCTTATTCGTTGTGCCGACATTGACATTTTGGTTTTGGCCACATCTTTCTATTCTCAATTGAAACGCCTAGGCATGGAAAATCACTGGCTGCTCTATGGATGCTCAAAATCCCTACGATACATTCCCGTTTACTGCATTGCGGAGGTTCTTGGTGATAGTAAAGCAGAAGCTCTACGCGGTTGCCATGCTTTTACTGGCTGTGACACCGTATCATTTCTATCATCAAAAGGGAAACGATCGGCGTGGAAAGCTGGGACTGCAGAAACATCATCTGCATTTCGTGCAATATCTTTCCCCTGCGATGAGTTAGAAGACTATATCCATAGAGCACTCGAAAAATATGTGATACGACTTTATAATGTTCAGGAGATTAATGAGCTAAGTAAGGCCAGATAATATTTATTTGCGACCGAAAACCGCTCACTTACGCTGATTCCAACAACTGCAGTGGATCTACATGAGCTCACATCAAGGGGCGGGTCACATTTGGGGTAGAGCAGATCAGGTACACCAGCACGATCTCCCTGCACCAAGTAGCTGGGGATATAAAGATGATAAAGACAAGTGGGTACCATTATGGTCGAAAAAAACACATGTTTGGGAGGCATGCAGATCACTGGATACATGTGGGTGCAACACGCTATGTGATACAATGCGTTACTCCTGCAGAAGAAGCGAATTGCTCTGTACACTTGCCTGCACGAAGTGTAAAGGAGAATGCAGTAATAAGAGGTGAACTATTCGCTCAAAACGACTAATCCTATTCTTATTTTTTTTTTCTCTCTTGTAGCTTAGCTTAAGATATCAATGAATTATCCGACCAGGAAGGCAGCTTGTTATTTTCTGTGTAATGTTGGTGTAGAGCTGTATCAATGACCTGTACAGATTCGAAACATATTTTTTTGGATTTTTCCAGCCAAATTCTATGTAAATTGCCATATATTTTTTCCAGATAGGTATGAATGTAAAAAAAGATATTGTCGACATTTATGTCAAATATGGCAGCCCTGCCGTTGGGTCCTATGAAGATGTTATATATTTTTTTCAAAGTCCTTATATTCGAATTAGTCTAAAATGACACCGATATTGGAATAATGTGATAGACATTTTCAATAATTTTAACCCTTTTGAAATCGAATAGGGGTTGAACAACCCTCATGAGGAGTGAAATTTGAGGTGCTGCGGGTTCCTCATGCCAAATTCTATATAAATCGCGATAGATTTTTTCCAGATAGGTCTGAATGTAGAAAAATGATATTTTTGACACATGTCAAATATGACAGCATTAGAGCCCTACCGTTGGATCCTACGAAGATGAGATATATTTTTTTTTGAATACCTCACATTCGAATTAGTCTAAAATGACATCAATATTGAAATAATATGATGACATTACCAATTTTAACCCTTTAAAAATGAAATAGGGGTTAAACCACCCTCCTAAGGGGTGAAATTTTAGGTGCTGCGGGTCAAATCTCTTAAAATAGCCTAAAAAACAACTATGCTAAGTTTCATGCCTTTAACCCAATTTGCTACGTTTTTTCGTGAACCGCACGGACTAACTGCAAAATTTCTTTATGATTTAACACTAACGTATTTTCAAAAAAACAAAAAATTCCCTATGGGGAAATAGTTTATTTATCTTCTTCACAATAAATAAACAACCACATGTTTTATTTATAAACAAATATTTACAAAAATATATTCCTGATTTTATAACATACACCTTTGCTGTTAGCTCATGCAATTTTCAGTGAAAAATAAAATAAATATTTAGAAAAAAAACACAGATTGAAAATGAAACCTTTAAAAAAAATTGGCTTCTGATTTGAATTAGTTATTTTAGTGGCGAATTTCTGAAATATGTCATATTTACATAGATGATATTAAATATTTTTGGACAGGCATAATAGGTTTTCACACGCTCAAGGAATTTACTAGCGACTAAAGCAACAAAAGCCCACCTGTAAATCTTGTTTTGCTGCCTCTGCTCCTGCCCTTGTATTGAATGTGACAAATCCGACAGGCTGAAAAAAAAAAGATATATAAAACAAACATAATACAGATAAAAGAGATATTTCTAACCCCATATTTTGGCACTTATGAAATAGCTGTCGCTTAACTGTTTTTCTATTTAGTATTTATTACCAAGAAATAACTGACGTTTCGCTGGTAATGGTAATAATTCACACCATTGCGGTCAATTGAAGTTACGTGTTTTCCATTAAATTTAAACCAGAAACCAGCTGTTTCTGTAGCGCATGTTTCCTTTCAAGTTATGCTTGGAGTGTTTCTAAAAAACCATCTTTCATTTGCCGTATTTGACGCTAGGTACCCAAACGAAAACCAACCATGACATCGATCATGTAATAAACGACATGATAGCCAAAAAATTGCATCAAATTTTACAATTCTTCCATTTGAATTTTCAGGATGTTCATTGTTGGCTTCTAGGATTTGGATCGGAATTTATCAAATTACAAAAGTATAAACATGTAGGTACTTTTATATTGAGAGAAAATAAACGAACAGATAGCATATGATGGAAGCCAACGAGTTTGAGTTAATGAACATGAAAAAAAAATTCTTCAAAGATTAGAAATATAGAAAAATGACATTCAATATCTAAAAAAATGTGATAAAAGTGAATTTGAAGCTCAAAAAACACTAGGATTCATAAGAAGTATTTGGAGAAGCAAGTGACAACAGAATTGACTAAGTACTCTTTGAAGCTTGGTAGTTACCGTTAATCATCACTAAATTATTTTTAGTGGTACTTTAAAGGTACCTACTTGATGAAAATTCATTATACTTTATGAAAAATATAAGATATAGCAAAAACATATATTGTGATATTGAAATAATCTGATAAGGTCTTTTCATAAACTAAGTTATTATAATCCTCCCAAACAAGCGGGTAGATAAGATTGACCACTTTTATCAAACATTTGTACTGTACATTCACATATGCACAACGAGTGCATAAAGCCAAAATAAATACTGTTGAAAGATGAAAGTGAAAATGAAGAGTATTCACGAGAAGGACTAGATATAACTAAGAAAGAAGTCCAACACGACATTCAGTTATCCAAAAACAGGAAAGCTGCAGGTGTAGACGGTGTCTATACTTAGAACTCATTAAAATCCTACACGTCAGTTACTACACGCAATAGTAGATTTTCTATATAGTTTATCGATCGGGCATAATTCCTTCTGACTGGCTTGAATCAACATTTGTGACGCTTCCGAAGAAAAGCTCTGCAAAAAGATATAGCGATTATCGCCTCATTTAGCTTGATAAGCCTACTTTCTCAAGATTTTTCTAAAGAACACCCATAAAAGAACATATGCCCAGTGCGAGTCCTTCACGGGCGAATCCCAATTTGGTTTTCGTAACATTTTTGGCACAAGAGAGGCCTTGTTTAGCATCCAAGAGCTAGCTCAAAGATGTAGAGATTTTTCTGTTTCTGTATATGCATGCTTCGTAGAATATGAGAAAGCGTTTCACAGGGTATAACATGAGAAGCTTATGGAAATTCTCAAGGATGTAGGCATAGATAATAGATCTCAAGATAATCGCAAATCTCTACTGAAATTACACTGCACAAATCAAGGTAGACCAACAAATATCTGACGAAGTACGGACTGTTTCACCATTACTTTTTAATATTTATTCGAACAACGATACGGTTTTAATTGCTGATTCTCTGGAAGTTCTTCAAGTATTACTTGATTGTAATGGCTACTGAAAGTGGAGAATTTGGATTAAAATTAAACGCCAAAGAAACTAAATGGATGGTGATTAGTGAGAACCAGGTTGGAGAAGGTATTCTTCTGGTACAGACCCAACGGATCGATCTGGTCCAATCATACAGATACCTAGGATGTTAGGTTAATGAAGACTGGAATAACATGCAGAAGGCTCGTGCCAGGATTGAACAAGCCAGAGCATCATTTATAAAAATGAAGTACGTGTTGTGATAGTCGAGGTCTCTCGATCTCCATTCGCACTCGAGTACTACGTTGCTACGACTTCAGTATTCTTTATTATGGACTCTGGCAGACGCCATGTGTAAAAAGCTAGAGGCTTTTGAAATGTGGACATATAGACGGATGTTAAAAATATCTTGGATGGACAAGGTGCGCAATGAAGATGTGCTAACGAGAATGTCAAGTGTACTTCGGTTACATACTCAGGAATGACAAATACCTACTTCTCAAGCTCATAATGGAGGAAAAAATCGAAGGCAGGAGAGGCCCTAGACGTGGAAGAATATCTTGACTGAATAAGAATTTGCGTTACTGGTCACGATAAATCTAATTATAAAAGCAGTCGACAAAGTACAGATAGCGCTGATGACTGCCCACCTTCGTAGAGGACACGGCATTTGAAGATGAAAAAGATAGAAGAAACCTCTCACAAAATTCATATTATCATCAACAGTATCCCTTCACCGTTGGCCAAAATCTATGCGTCACGTATTTTACGAAGTCTTCCATGGTAATGTCGTCGTCAGTACTAGTGTGAGTTTGGGTATACTCTTGCTCTTATCTGTTGCACAAGTGCAGAGTCTTTTACACCTTCTTTTCATCTTGTCGTATGCGAAATCTGCAAAACTTGATAAGACATGGTCTTCGTGATGGACTTTCAACGTTGGCATGACTTACTCTGTTGCGACGTTGGATTTGGGCGTCGTTACTCTGTAATTTCTGTAACCAACGCGCCATTTGACCATCTGGGTTTTTAAAATTGATGCAATGCGGAATGGTCGATTCCGACTCTAACTAGAAACTAAAATAAAATTGTGTCAATGCTCAATGGATTTTTTTACTGCCACAAGCTCCTTCCCAGAGACACAATAACTTCTCTCCAGGGGTTTACTAAGATATCCAATGATTACTTCTTCGCCACTTTGAATTTTGGAGTGGAGGGAACATCAGTTCCTATTCGATTCTGCGTGGGTGTCTAACACAAACAGTCCTTCATGTATGAGGTACGCTAAAACTAGAGCGCTGGTCAATCTGTTTTTAAGCTGCACATATTGTCTGGCCTTTTTCTGGATCTGTGTCTGTTCCTCAAGAAAGTTCACTTTTTCTTGGAAGACGACACACACTTTCTTGGATTCAACTATAGGTCTGCACTTCGATTCTTGGCAAAAGCTTTTCTTAGATTCGATAGGTATTCGTTGAAATCTTTGACTCCATGAAAAAATCTAGGTTATCCAATTGAGTCGACGCAGGACGCAGAACTAATTCAATCAGTTTCTCGAAGGTGGCAGGGGCATTGCATAATCCAAATGGCATGGCGTTAATTTTTAATAGGCCATTTCCAGCTGTAAAGGAGGTCTTCTCTAGATCCTCTTTAGTGGTGCCGCGAGACGAGACTAGACGAGACTTAGGGTTGGTCTCGTCTCGTCTCGATATCTCGAGACGAGACCGTGATTTAGTCTCGGTCTCGAGTACCAAAGTCTCGTCTCGTCTCGAGTGGTCTCGTCTGGTCTCGAGTTATACAGGGTGTCCAAAAAATAGCGTAAAAACTCTTTTCTACGTGGTGGAGGACCCTACAAGGAACCCCAGAAAAATACTTTAAAAAATCTAGTGGCATTCTTAAGAAAGTTATTTGCATTTTAATATTTATTAAAATTGGCAACACTGAAAATATCCCGTTGGCAATATGTCAGAGAATTAAATTAAATACCCATGTAAGTACCTGAAGAATTCGAAGGTGAATTTTCACATCTACCTCTTCATACTACCAAGAATAATGCTGGAGAAGGATTTTTTTAATTTAATTATTTTTCTAGGGTTTCTCCAAGGGTCCTCTACTACGTGGAGAGTTTTTACGCTATTTTTCGGACATCCTGTATTTATGGTTTTTGTTTTTTTATTATAACGGTCCAAACTACCACAGTGAAAAAGCAATTAGTGAAAAATCACAGTAAAGAGTAACCCTGATATTTAATTTACTGATATTCAAATAGCCCAGAATAGTTCAATAATGAAGCTATGAAAGAAAAATTTTAGGTGTAATCTCGAGACTCGAGACTACACGAGACTCTCGCCGAGTCTGGTCTCGTCTCGTCGAGACTTCACGAGACGAGATTAAAAGCCAGTCTCGTCTCGAAAAGTCGAGACGAGACGAGACCAGTCTCGAGTCTCGCGGCATCACTAATCCTCTTTGTTAAGTTCCACCGGCCAATATCAAATTTTGGGATTTAATGTTGAAATTCATTTGTAGCTATCTTTCTGCGTTATTCAGCCGCCTATAGTCCACACAGAAGTGAGAAGTGTCATCCTTTAGCTAGACCAACCGGCGATGAGCACCTACTTTAAGATTCTTTAACATCTCTCGTAGCCAATGTTGCCGCGAGACAAAGCAGTTTTGTACTGAAGTCTGGCGATGATTTGTACTAAATTACCTAAAAATGTACTAAATATCTAACCTAACAATTTTAAGCATTATGCCGGTGACGTAACGGAAAATCTAATTTTTTTGTAACTTCTGAGTTTTGACATCGTTCATTCGATTTAACGATAATACATACAATAGCAGTGTTTTCGCATTCTGGCATCTTTTTCTAAAAGCATATAATATATAAGAATAGAGATAGGTACACTTTTTTGCACTGATTCTGCAAATGGAAATCGCTAGGTCTGTTTCTGCAGAAATCACAAACCAGTCAGAGCGAATTTCATTGGTTGAAAACAGTTAGAAAACTAGTTTCAACCAATGAAATTCACTCTGACGGGTTTGTGATATCTGCAAAAACAGGCCTAGTTGTGATTTGTCATTTTCTCTAAATTGTACTAAAATTATCGATGGTGTACTGACGTACTAAATTAGACTGGATTGTACTGAATCTAGTACAAATGTACTAAAAATGGCATCACTGCTTGTAGCAAGAAGCTAACTTGGTCGTTGTGCTTTGCGAATGGAAGATTTCTTACGGGTTTTGGAATGGTTATGGAAATTCTCATGGTGATGCGGTGTTCTACCAGATTAGTTCGCCTAGTAAACTTTTCTTTGCATTAGCTTTTTTCACAAAATCAATGGCTTCATTTTTTTTTTCATTGACCTAAATGTAAATTCCATATCTTACATAGCATAATTAAACAGCTGCCTGCCTTCGCTCACGAAGACATAGGTACCAAAAAAACAATGGCTATTTCATAATATTGAAGCTTGTCAACTAAGAGATCAATATTCATAGAGTTTAACCCTCCGAAACTGCTGAATACAATAAATAATAATAGCAGAAAGGAAAATTATACCTTAATATCTTTTTCTGATTTTGAAACGACTGTATTCAGTTTCATTTTCCGGTAATTCTTTATTAGATTCACCGAAGTTGAAAGCAATTTCTTCCAACTCTTTGTCTGCTAAATATCAACGCGACGTCACTGAACTTGTCCAAGCAAACAATATTATAGAGCGAATTTCGTGTCGCACCAGCGCCATCGTGTTAATTGCTTGTACATTCTAATCGTAAGGACAATGGGATTAGAAGCTATCAATTTCTTGATGTTTTCTCTAAAAAAACCTCTTGCTTGGCGCCTACTTTATAGTCTCCGCGTGTTAATAAGAAATTATCGGAAAACTTGTGATAAACGAGTTTATGATAATCGAGAATCAAATAATAGTTATACGAGTCTCTTCATTGCTCAAGGAACAACATTTTGGTCGGGAAAAGATCAGATGTTCCCAAGACACAGCATGAGGTGGGAAACGTTGAAATGAAAAATATAAAAAGCATTCGTGGAAAAACATTTAACGTCAGAATTAGAATCTAGGACCTTCGATATTAGAGAAAGATACACAACATATTTAGATGGAAGAGAAGAGAACTCAGGATATACCGAAACGCTGGAAAGAATGTTGCCCATCTACGCCCTAAGATACTTGAAAGGAAGAAAACGGTAGAAGCGATATAGCCTACCTAGACGGTATATAGACATCCATTATATTATAGTAGGTAAGAAAAAAAAAGAAGTGCCTAAAAATCGATATTTTATTTGTTCCCATTCTAAATCTGTTTCAAAAATACTTGCCAGTTGGAGGACTGCAGTTCCCCACCTATTCACTTTGAAATCCCTTCACGACTAAAGATCTTCATAGCTACCAGACAATGCAAAATTAAATTATTTTTAAAATTTGGAAAAAACAAATGATTGAGCCATTTTATACTTTGGGCCTCGGCTTAAGCTTAATTGGTAATCAGTTATGTTTTTTTTTTTTTTTTTTTTAAATCAAAGTACCTACCTATCCTACTAGATTCAAAACATAAATCGCAAAATACAAATTTCGATATTTGCTTGCTTTTGACAAACACAGCTTTAACCCACTCTTCAATTCAATTTCAGAGTGCCCTTCAAACTATTTGTGTACGTCAACAAAAAACAATTTTAAATGAAAATTTTATGTTGGCGGTAAATGTAAACAATGGATTACTTGAAGATTATTTAGATTTGATCCACAGTACATGTTCAATAATAAACGCAAGCATTACTAATTATAAACAGTTAAATCATATTTCTGGATTTAGAATCTGATTAGTTATCCTGTTGCCCTTACCCTTTGCCCACCTATTTTCTCAAATTGAAAATCGATATTTTAGTCTAAACGTTTGGGAAAACTCAATTTATTCGCCTAATAATTTAGTTCGTCTGGCAGACGTTTGGCGTCAGATTTACCCGCTTGTAGAATTTTTATGAGGCAAACAAGCTAAAGTTATAACGTAATTACGTAGGGTGTGCGTCTTATAAAGTCGTTTTTGGATAAGAAAGGACGCTGTTTTGTTGATATATAAGTATATACATATATGGTTATTAAAGTGGAAGGTACTCACCGATGCTGTTTTTCCATTTTTACTTGTTACTTTCAATAACGATCCCTCATAACCCTGAAACAGAAATTATACTTTAGTGAAATAATAATTATTAATTGACTACTTTGGAACGAAACAAAAAAGTTTCTAGATTTTCACAAATAAATTTAGATGATTCCGAAACATGTTTCGGTGCCTTCTTCAGACAGAAAAACCTAAACTAATATGCTAAGCTAGAATATATAGGTACAAAATAAGCAAGTAACAAAAGAATTAAAAACTTGCTACTTGAAGATATGAAAGCAAAATATAATAACAGTATAGGGTAAAAATGATGTTAATCATGTAAGTTGGTATATAAATTTAACAATGGGTTAGGTTAGGTTATGTCGGAAATGAGTGGGCGTATTACGGCCCTCCACTACGACTCATTTGGTCTATTTTGACTCATGCCCATTTTTCTAATGAAGTCCAGGATAGTGGTTGGAGAGATGCTGTTCAGGTCTCCCAGTGGGATCGTTGTCCCCCCTAGAATACGAGGCCTCAGTCTGCCACCTCCAGACATTCGCAAAGAAAGTGTGCAGCTGTCTCATCCTCCTCCATGCATAGTCTGCACTCAGCATCATCTGCCAGTCCAACCCTGTGTTTTAGCCTACAGTGTCCAGTGTAAGGGCCGATTAGCCGAGCTCCGGTATCCTCCCAACCGAGCGTTTTTTCACGGTTGTCTTGATTGCCTTTGCTTGTGTCATACCTGGCAGGTTTAGCAAATGTTCATAGGCTTTGTTGTCCGCCCAGGTTTTAATGATTTGATTTGCCATGTTATGGGCAATGCCCAGCACTGGCTCTCCATCCACATTAGGGTTACCTTGTTTTCCTTCCCTAATTTGCTTAGAGCTTCCTGACAGCTCCAGATTGTTCTTGAATTAAAGTAGGTGGAGTTTTGTGAGTTTGAGGTCAATTATGCGATTCTTTTTCTTATACCCATTTCAATGGCATGCACTTCCATCTAGTTGCATTGTTCCCTAGGCTGATGGATAATCTAGTTTTCGGTTTTGCACCATAACGCCCGATCCTACCCCACTGTCTGTCTTTGATCCATCAGAGAACCAGACATAGATCTGCTTTTAGTAGGGCATGCTGATTCTGCACCCACTGTTCCCTTTTTGGGAAAGCCCCTGTGTAGGGTAGGGCGCTCGTTGTGTATGTTCTTGGCATAAGGTCGCTAGGCATTTCTAAACCGTTAATAAACTATAGCAGTTTGGTACCTTCCACATGATTTTGATAAGCTTGACAGATTAAGAAAGAAAAGACAGAACCAATTTGGGTACTGTTGACTTTTCTTTTCTCTTTTGTCTTGGGACCGAAACAGGTCGTCCAGCCAGATTTTTAAAATCTTAAAACTCTTACAATTTTGTCTTTACTTTTGGCCATCGAGCCCATAGTTTTGTAAATTGACCAGCCAGTGAGTGATTGATTGTGTCCGCTGGAAAGTTTTTTGGAAAATCAACCGATTGTTGATTTTTGTGTAGATTTTAGAAAGTGAGGTTACTATCGGCCGTATAGGTATTTTCTCTCTGATGAATGAGTCCTTATATTCCCTAAATTCATTCAGGCACTTTGGGCAGGACGAAAAATCCGTGGCTGCACTTATCCAGGTGAAAGTTGACAAATTTGAGACCATGCTGTTCTGCATCTCAGAGTAATCTGGTTCCCCTTTTTCAAGGAATGTTGGTGTCCTGTAAGAAGTTAATCCCCAACCATTATTTGATTGTCTCCAGCCAGTTTGGTACTTCCAGATCTCAAGTTTGTGAAAACTTCCGAGGCTTTACAAGAATTCCGTCCAGGCTTGTATAATTATTTACCTATGGGTCTCTTAAATGTGCCATATTAATTACCGTAACTTACCTTTTCTTTATCGCCCTCTATCGATTGGCTTTATTAACTTATTAATATCTTTGTAAATATTATATACCGTTACTTACCTTTTTTCTATTGCCCCCTATCGTTTAGCTCCATTAGCTAAGTAATATCTTTGTAAAATCAATTACCGACTCGTTTACCGGTATAGAAGTATTTGGCTAGAATAGCTAACTACAGTTTAAATATAATTATTAATTTAATTAATTAATCATTATCATAATCAGATATTTACCTTTATTATCGTTTTATTCATCATTATCTAGTATGTAATAATTATGTATCATTATTGTGATTATTGAAAATTTATTTCCTTTATATAATATATTGTGGATTCATTAATCTTTAAAAGGTTAATTTAACTTTTAATTTCAAATCAATAAGGTGGTAGTTCTACAAGGTAAACCAATGTAAAATCTTTAGGTAGTTAAATTTAAGTTTTATATTCACATATTTTTAATTTTAATTACAGGTAAGACGGTAGAGCTCTCCCCGATATCCTTGATTTCATATAGCCCGTCTTTGGCATTTATAACTCCCTAGGGATTATTTATTACCTTTCTGCATTTATAAATTTGTTTTTTATCGATTTGTTTGACTTTGAGTCAAAAATTAAAGGTTAATGGTATCATGACTTCAACAATTTATACTTAGGTAATTCTCATCGTTGGTATCTATTTAATTGTTTTTGAATTTCAATCCTTTAATATACCTATTTAAATTAAGTATTGCTTTTGGAAAGCTGCTTAATTTTTGTTTAAAAAAATTTGGATACTGAACAATATTTTCCTTTGAACAACTGAACAACAAGTTCGCCATCCAGTCAACAAATTTTTAATGAACAAGTTCGACATTTGGTTAATAAATTATTGTTTTTAGAATTCCACAACTTGTGTTTTTCTTGAAGGGGTTGAATGTCAGATAGCTACTGGAATTATTTTACCTTTTCAGATTTTTGCATTTATCTTTTTAAACAATAACTAATTATTCGAATAGTGCCTAGTTTGGCTATTCTTTGTTATTCAAAATAATTTTATACAAGCTAGTGGCGCCCTCTCGTTACTGTACCAACACCAAGGACCACCCCAAGCTAAACAACCACTGAGCATAGTCGAGCACAATTATGAGCATTCTTTTGTTTCGACAAAAGAGCGTTACAACTTGATCTCTGTTCGTTTGGTATATTTTGTAGTTTGTTATTAGGGCCTTCCTTTGCAGATAGATACCTATATGTGAAGGGAGAATTCCTAGGAGAAGCTCCATGGCTGATTTTGGCGTAGTGCTGAAAGCCCTATTCCATTTATTGCTAAACAGGCCTGTCTTTGTAGTCCGTCGAGTTTAATTTGAGCTGTGCGCTGGTACACCTTTTCCCACCAGACTACTGCGTCATGTTATCATTGGCCTGATGACCATGATACATAACCAGTATATTTGCTTGGGCCCAATTCCCCATGATTTGCCACAGATCCTGCTGCAGATCCATAGTGAGTTCCATTTCTGCCAGTTGGAAGTTCCAGGTAGGTAAGCCTTTGATCTAGAGTAATTCCTAGATATTTTACTTCGTTTGCAAAGGGTACAATGAGGAACAATTATTAGTATCCAATTGTTCAGTCAAAAATATCCCAGACCTTTTCCTTCCATATTCTTAAAGGGGGTGTGACCTTAAAATACAACTTGCTTTCAGAAAATAAAGAAAAAAATTCTAAGAACTCTTGTGAAAATCTCGCATCGCTACTCAAAATAATAAAGTAGATACACCTAAATAAAGGTTTGTCTATTCATCGCGTGACGTCACAACCACGCGACGAGCGTATTGGCCGGATCAGGGCGCGAGGCGCGTGTCATTACACGCTCAGTAGTAGCAAAGGTAGTAGCCTATTTATTAGTGCATGTCGTTTATAGATTAACGTTCTTCTGCTTAATTTGTTCGTTACTTGTCGATAGTGTTTCATTTATGTAATAACATTAAAAATGCCTAATTGCTGTGTTGAAGGTTGCAATAACAATCCTAAAAATGCTGGTGTTTCGTTGCATTCATTTCCGAAGGAAGAACTACAGCCAGCTCCATACAAAGCGTGGAAAAATCGCATAAACCCGAAAAATTTTAATCCCAATCATCGCCATGTGGTTTTTAGTGTACACTTTAATGAAAATGGCTTTGAACATAGTTTAAACACGACTTTATTGCCCAACGAGAAGATAAAGATGAGAGTGAAGAAGAATAATATTCCGCCTCTCTTTTTATCCAATAAAGGTGCTACAAAGAATTTCCACGTATCTTCGTGAAACACTTGCAACATGTAAGCGAATTAGGTCTTTTAGGGTTTTTGTCAATTTTTCCTTTTTCCTCGTCGTTTTTTAATTTCTAGTTCTTTTTTAGAATATTTTGGTTCAAAACCAAAAGCCATTATCATTGAAGAAAAAACTTAGAAAATCTTATTTTAAATTAAAAAAACCTATTTAAACTTGAACGCAAAAACAATACGATAATCTCGATATATTATTATGCAGCAAGCATGAGCAAACGCGCGCACAGCGCCGGCCGGAGGACTCAACTGTGGTTCTGACGTCACAGTGCTGGGAGTAGCAACTTCATACCACGATATCTTCGCAACGGTTGGTCGTAGCCTAGTGCGGTTTGAAAATTTGTTCTTAGATTTTTTTTTTTGCAAAACTTTTAATTTTGGGTCACACCCCCTTTAAGATAATTCATCTAATTTCTTGAATTCATTCTCTTTGTGCAAAATTTTAGAATCTGAGGCATCTGAGGCAAAGTCGTAATTTTCAGAATTTAGATGTAATGCGTATTGTGGAAAGGTGTTATTTTTCATGAAGCTAGAGTGGTGTTTTTTAATTCTTATTTTGAAAGAACTTTCTAATTGACCAATACCTTCTTCCAGACAAGTAAGTAGACTACTGATTTGGATAGTTTCTTCGACCTAGATTTTTCAATGAGTTTGATTGCGTTTTTAATGAGTTTACCTAAGTTTTTATTAGTTCTAAAAGCAGTCTTTATCTTGTTTTGGGGATATTTTCAGAAATAGTACCTGTGTATGTAGTAGATTTATATTTTTATATGATTATATTATTGGATGATGGATAGGCTGTAACGTTTTTTGTTTTTTTTTCTCAACTAAAGCATCAGCCAAACTAACATT